TGGGAAATTTATGGCATTTCAATTTTGAGAAATTAGGGGGTATAATAATCTTTTTACCTATAATTTACTATCTAACATTATATAAAACAAAATATGGTAACTAGCATTTAACATAACTAAAGTTCCTATTTTATCTTTTTGTAATTATCTAGTTTTTTTACTTTTAAAAAAACATAAAACCGTAATCTCTAACGGTAAACAAATCTAAACCATCATCAAACACTTTTTTTTACATGATTCACATCTTCACTCTTAACTTTTTTCCACAGTTCTAAATAAACCTTCTCACCATTTTCTCCAAATTTCTCAATATTTGATTTAACCATCTAATTAATTCCATTTACTTATTTATTTTTAAATCCAAATAGACTCTCTTTCACATTACTGACACCACTCGAACTGATCAGGTATGGTTTATCAATCATAAGTGATGGAAGATAGAATGTCCGATGAAGTTGAGGTGCTGGCAAATGCTTGTCTTTCTCTAGCTTAAGAAACACAATTCAATCGAGAGTGGACAGTGTCTGAGAAAATCAGAGAAGCTAAGAGACGGATTCGCCTGTGTCTCGACAACAAGCTAAAGCCCATCACGCCCTTAGCTTTCGCACATGACCAATGCGATATTCTTATCGGAATCTTTCCTTTTTTTTGAAAAACAATATTTTTTTTTCTTTAATATTCAATTTCACAATTCGCTTATTTTTCTCTTCTCTTAATTATTTTGTCTTAATTCGTTGTTATCGATCGAAATCTTCAATCGTGGATTAAGATGGTGTTTCTTCTCTTCTATTAATTTTCCACCGTCATTCATCTATTGGTCAAACTGAGTCGTCGCTGAATATCGACATAGTTAACTATGTCTAAAAGGTAACTATGTTTATCATAATAGTTACTATGTATGTTATTTTTTCATTATGGTATGTAACTTTGTTTCTGATAATAGTCAACTATGTAAGTTACTTTTTTATTATAATAGGTAATTAAGTTTTGAATTAGTTAACTATGTTTGTTTAAATAACTAACTATCACAACAACATTTTCATATAGTTAACTATGTCTTGACATCAGTAGAGTAGATAACTATACTCTGAAAATAGTTAACTATGTTTTTAAATTGGTAACCATTTTTTGAAAATAGTCAACTATGTTTTAGACAGTTACAAATAATGTGATGTTGTTAACTATGTTCAGAGATGTTTCGGAACTATATAGTTAACTATTACAACATTTTATTTTTTGTCATCTTCTGAATCTTTTTTTCTTTTAGAATATTTGTGCAAAACACAAATCTACATTTTGCTAAGATACAATCGCATTCTACAAATTTTCATAGATGAAATTAAGAGGATATTTTAAAGAATTTTTTTATATAAATTTGTATTAATTATTGTTGTAATTTTAATTTTGTCTTCTAATTATTTAAATATATTTTTGGATATGTTAATTTTCTAACTTTTAGTCTCAAAAATAATATTCAGCTAATTAACCTTTAATTTTTACTTTTAATAAAAAAAAAAATTGTACTAATCCATTGCGAAATTGCGACCATATTTTACTTTTTGTGCCCTTTTATTTATTTGCAAAAAGCCTCCCTCCCTTCACCGGAGGAAAAAAAAACCAATCAAACCCTTTAAAGATTTCTTAGGGTTTCGATCGAAGCAGGAGAGAAATCGAAATCCAGAGAGAAGCCATGGATGAAGCTTTGTCGAGCGCCTCTTCAATCAGTGACCAGCGTCAGAAGATCGAACAGTACAAACTCATCCTCTCTTCTGTTCTTTCCTCCAACGATCTTCTTCAAGCGAAGAAATTCATCGATCACAGTAAATTTTCATCCTTCTCGCTCTCCTTATGCTTGACTATGTCAGAATTTCTGTTTGGCTTTTTACGCCATGGCTGATGATTTCGATTTTTGGGTACATTTTTTGGAAATTTCCAGTTCTCTCCGACGATGTACCGTTGGTGGTTTCGAGACAGCTTTTGCAGTCTTTTGCTCAAGAACTCGGGAGATTGGAACCGGAAACGCAGAAAGAGATTGCGCAGTTTACACTCACTCAGATTCAGCCGAGAGTTGTTTCCTTCGAGGAACAGGTTTATTTATCTCTCTTTTGATTTTAGAAATCGTGAATCTACTCCTCAAAACCCTATGTAGTAGTCTATCTAGACGTGCTCTAAGTGGACAAGTATTTGGAGACGCCTACTATATCGTTTCTCTTTGATGTTTGTTTATGAAGGATGCTTTTGTGTTTTCGGGTAACTCGAGACAATGTACATTGTTGTTGCTTCACAGTTTCTTTGTTGCAAGATATGAAACTGTTTTGGGTGTATTTGCAGGCACTTGTTATCAGAGAAAAACTTGCGGGATTGTATGAATCAGAGCAGGAATGGTCAAAAGCTGCCCAGATGTTGAGTGGCATTGATCTCGACTCTGGAATGAGGTGTGACATTGATCAGCAAATTTTAGTTTCCCCTTGTCTTCTTTTCAGTTGCTTATTTGGATTTGTGGTATTCTGCATTTTTTAGGGCTGTTGACGACAACTTCAAGCTCTCAAAGTGTATCCAAATTGCTCGTTTGTATCTCGAGGTTTGGCTTTCCTTTCCATGTACATGTGCATAATAGATTTTGTGTCCTTTTCATGAATTTGTAAGCATGTAAATCTCATACCTCTAATTATGAGATGGATTTCCACATGGTAGTAATGATTCATAGCTAATCACCGTTTTATAAATACTTCAAACTTCAAACATTTGAACCTTTTTATAGAGAGATTTTATATAAAGTTAACAAGTCTCTTGACTAAATCTCAGTGTCATGAAACTATAAGCCTCTACAGCGCTAAGGGCATTATTCTGATTCGCAATATACACTTGCATATCTGTAAATTAAGGCTGTCAGAGTTGTATAAATACATTTAGTTTATTTTGATGATTCTCTGATTTTTTTTTTTTTAATGTTTTGATTATCTGTAGGATGATGATGCTGTAAATGCAGAGGCTTTTATAAATAAAGCTTCTTTCTTAGTGAGCAGTAGTCAGAATGAAGTTTTGAATTTGCAGTACAAGGTTGGACTTCCTTAAACTAAGAATGTGCTGTCTGATTAAGGAGCACTCTTTTCCGGGTTTATATAATGTATTTCTTTTTCAGGTCTGCTATGCTAGAATTTTGGACATGAAAAGAAAGTTCCTAGAGGCTGCTCTTCGGTATTACGGCATATCTCAGATTGAAAAACGCCAAATAGGGGATGAGTAAGTGAACCGGCTTCTCTCTATGAATATCTTCTGTGTTGGTTTCCTGTCCGAATGAATATATTGATTAATCTATCTTCTATCCATCTGTGGATACCCCTTGTTAAAAGCTGTTTTTCTACTTTTTAACCTCTCTCATTTGGATTAAATAGCCTCCCTGTTATCTCTCTCCAATAAGTTTGTGATGTTATGTCATTACTCTGAAACGTGTTGGTCCTAATGTTTTCAGAGAAATTGATGAGAATGCATTAGAGCAGGCCCTATCCGCTGCTGTCACATGTACCATATTAGCTGGAGCCGGTCCACAACGTTCTCGTGTTCTTGCAACTTTATATAAAGTAATTCCCTGTGGATTATTATTAGAATGCCATTTCTTGCTTGC